GCTCCCAAAAGCCATGCAGCAACTGCATATTCGATTGACGGGGTCCCAAACGCCTTCACAGAAGCATTAAATAACCTGGGCGACGAACTGATGCACCTATATTTCAGGAAAGTACATCCACTCCTGCCTGTAGTAGACGAGCACAGATTCTATTTGCGATATGGTTTAAGACAAGCCGCGCATCTGCAGCAACCTGACCAAAGTCTCGTTTTCTATTCCATGATGTTTGTGGCATTCGGACACCTAAACAATGAGCAGCTTCAGAGGACGTCAGTCTCGTCGATCAAGGAAGGCCAGAAAAGACTTTTCAGCCTCGTAACATCACTATACAGTGCAACCGTTGCGAAGATGGATCCAGACCAAGAGGTTGCATTGACACAGGCGGCTTTGCTGCTGAGTTATTGGACTCCGTCTTATGCTTCTAAAGAAGTTGACAATTTCTGGATTAATGAGTCACTGAAACATGTCTTAGCGGTGAGGGCATCAAAATCGCAGGGAAGCACCAGCTCTCGGCATCGCTTGCTATGGTGGTGTTATACTGTTCGGAATCGATTATCGTCATTTATTCTCCGACGACCGGACCAATCAAGTTCTTCCTCCTCTGCGAAGAAATTGACTTTGGAGGATTTTAGAGGAGATTTAAGCTTCCCTGGTTTTACAGGAATCGGAGAAAAGACTCGGATGGTTAAGGCATTCATTTCATTGTGCGATCTAACTAACATTATGGCGGAAGTGTTGAAGTTCAGTCAGCAGCAGCGCGAAGGACAAGATTTTGGGGGTTTGAACGACAAGATGTTCGATATCCAGGCCGAGAAAAGACTGGAGAAGATTGCTTCGCTAGAAATGGACCTCACCATGTGGCAGAGAGAGTTTGAGCGCGAGAATGAGCAAATCAAACCGGTGGACCGACACAATTATGAAAAGTTCCATCTAAATATGATACGTGTCATCTATAGGTACGTGGTCTAGTTCGCTTATCCTTCCCAACTTTGGGGTGTCGTCGGAATGCTTAGTCTTCAATCGACCTCTAGGGCAACAATTTCGTCTCTCTACGAACCTTTCCTGGCATCTAGGCCCTATGGGATTCCAACCACAAAACGTCTGCGGCATGTAGCCATAAAGAGGGTCAAAGAATCATCAACTCGCATCGCGTCGTATGTCGGGCAAACGCTCGAAGACACAGGGATCGAAAATTTCCCAATACCAATGTAAGATCCCAATGCTTGATTCATGCATCTCTTCCCTTGATATCGTTTTAATCAGTCAGCTTCAGAGGCGCTTGGATCGCACTCCCAATCGCAATTCACCTCGTCGAAATAAACCGGCTAAATCCAAGTGCGTCCGCCATCCACATCTTCAGGTCCAAGACCGCTACCGCTGTCTCCACAAGCCTCCACCGTCTAAGGCCTCTAATGCGCGTCCTTCATGGTCTCCTATTGCGATTTGAAGGTGCCGAATTCATCTCTCAGCTAATCGATGCCGTCATCCGTACAATAGGCAAGGTGTTGCGACAGCGGTGCCGCTCCAGTTACTGCGCAAATACCGTTATGGAAGACAATGGCGATTTTGATACGAGATCTGCTAACGTACTCATCAGATCTGGTATGATGGCATCCAATAGCTGGAATGATGTTCAAGTGGACCGAGAAAACTCACCGTTCGTAGATGGAGAAATGGGACTACAGCAAGGAGGGAAACAGGAACCTAAAGTCACGTTGGAGGAAGGGGAGCTGTTGGGATCGGTGTCGAAATTAGTATGGTTATGTCTTTCAAATAAGATGTTTGTGGAGCTGGTCTGAAAATTATTCCACTCATGGAGCTCCCATCATTCTCGCCGGATATCTAAAAGGATCACGGAGCATACAGCGAAGAACGTTTATAAAAGGAAATAAAAAAAAAAAAGGGGGGGGTCATGGATTGAGCCTACAGTTGGCTTAATGTTAGGGATGCCAAGCCACTAGCCAGTCGCCCTACAAATGGTACCCTCGGGCGCTGAGTTCTACACCCAGTGTTCAGTCTTGCCCTCTGCGAGCACGCAGAGCGTAGGCCTACGGGAGGCCTGCGGGACGATGGACTCACACCTTCTCGCGGTGTCCGGTGTTAAGCGCTGAAAAAACGTGAACTGAGATGAGCCTAAACAACGAAAGAGAGGGCGCGACTGCGACGTGTCAAAATACCCAAAAAAGAGGGAATCGATTTAGAAACCATCCGACGCGTCAGTATCCAGCTCGGACCTGGAACCGAAGCAAGTCCTATCGAAACTTGTGGAAGCGGTGTCGCCTATTGACGCGACAGGACACCCTCAGCTTACATGCACTCTGAGTCAGCGTGTCACGACGCGTCGCGAGGGTGGCGGGAACCTTTGAAAGGTACGTACAAGCGGCCCTGTTAATTCTGATGTATGCTATCTTAGGAGGTCTACTACGGCACGTGCAGCCCTGTTAAACTTCGAGAACAAGCCACTGTCGCGTCGTGGTGGGCGGCCTACGGGAGACCCTGTTAAACCTCGAGAACAAGTCACCTCTCGACCTTCTGGACCCCGACTTGCCGGCCCTGTTAAACTCCGAGAACAAGTAACCGCGGGAAGGGAAAGAAGGAGGACAGTATACTGAAAGGAACAAGCCACCGTGAGGAAGTACAACTGAAGAGGGGACATAAGCTTGGTTAGGAAGGGATCGCAGACGGGGATGACTTGCTGGCTAGGAGCATCTCACGGTTCCCTTGCGAGACATGGTCGGCCTAGATGTGGGAGACCGCACTAGGCAACGCGAAACGAGTCTTTAGGCTCGCGGGGCGTAGCACGTAATGGCAGCCATGGCAGGCCAGAGCCTACAAGACTGTCTACGTGGCTCGAGAGGACGGAGGCGCATGTCGGTGTACAAAGAGGCAGGGGCCAGCTACCTTACTCGCACTAAGGCCTACTGAAGAAAGTTGGGAGAAGTGGTGTCGTCCTAGCAAGGAGCTGTTACCCGTATGCGACTTGCTACCTGACTCGCACTCAGGCCCTGACCCCAACCGGCGGTAGTGGTGTCGTCCTAGCTGAAGAGGCCTGATGATGTATGCTTAAGGAGTAAACAGAGAGTCACCTAGGCGTGAGGGGCCTCGTCCACCCCAAGAGTCGTTGAGGCATGAGGCTGAAAACTAGGGTATAGTCTAGATAGGTAGACACGGCAAATATACATATGATTCTTTGCGTCGCCGGTGACTTCAATCGACATGACCAACTATGGGGTGGCGACGCGATCGGTGCTTCACCTCGGCAAGGAGAGGCACAGGAGATTCTGGATCTGATGGATGACCTCGACCTACGGCTTCTCCTCCCCCGCGGCACGGTCACCTTTGAGAGCTCGAGCGGTGACAGCACCATCGACCTCGTTTTCGCCAGTAGTGGTCTGGCCGAAGATCGGCTCATCTGCGAACCGCACAGTATGGAGCACGGATCGGCTCACATCGCCATCAGCACCACTTTCGCGATTGACGTGCCCGAGGTAATTACGCCACCTCGAAAGGTCTTTAAAAGCGCGGATTGGAAACGGGTTCGAACGGCCATGGCCCGAGAGGTGGGAACTCTCCCTGAAAGTATAGGGGATGGTGAAGTGGAGGAGCAGTCGACTCGCTTGATTGAGATGGTGCAGAGTACTCCATCAGCATGTGCCCACGTCGAGGCCATCACCCTATACACGACGATGGTGGAATCTCGATCTGACGAGACTCCGACAAGATTACACCCAGATACGAAACCGCTGCCGGGCCTGCGAAGGGCTGGCACCAGTGATGAATCGTTGGAGCGCGCGGCTCGAGAGGCCAAAAAGCGTTTCCACGACACAGTGAAACGTCAAAAGAGATGTCACTGGGACGAGTTTCTACAGAACACCGACAGCATCTGAAGGCGGCGAAGTACCTCCAACCCGACGGGAGCGGTGGTTTCCACCGTATCCCTGGACTGACGGTTGGAGGCCTCTTGGTGGAGGATAATCCCCAGATCAGTCAACATCCCACCAGGCAGGATCACGTGCCGGAGGCAGAGGACACCCAGCTCCTGTGAGGAGCCACTTACCATGCACGAAGTGGAAGGAGCGGTACTCCGGGCACAGCCATACAAAGCACCTGGCCTGGATGACGCACCCGCGGTCGTCTGGAAGGAGCTGTAGCCGATCCTCGGTCGGTGGGTCTTTCTCCTCTTCGAGGCGTCATTAAGAACGGTCATCATCCCGCAAGCATGGAAGCAGGCGAAAATCATACCGCTGTGCAAGCCAGACAAGCGGGACTACACGAACGCAAAGGCCTATCGGCCCATATCGCTATTACCCACGCTGGCGAAGGCGTTAGAGTCGATCCTAGCAGAGAGGCTATCCTTCCTGGCAGAGACGTGTTCTCTCCTGCCCAAGAACCAGTTTGGCGCACGGAAACGTCATTCGACCGTCCAAGCTCTCATGCTTCTGCAAGAGAAGATCTACGACGCCTGGCGAGACAGGAAGGTGCTCAGCCTGGTCAGCTTTGACGTCAAAGAGGCATACAATGGCGTCAACCGAAACGTCCTTCTCCAACGCCTGCGATGTCGCCAGGTGCCCGAGACTGTGGTGCGCTGGGTCGAATCGCAAACAAGGGCAGGGTGGGTCGTTGCACTGTCGTCGGCCTACGAGCGGGTTCTCAGTGAAAAGCTTCAGTTGAGGAGAATGGGTGGTGCTGAGGATCTCGAAGAGGTAGTACGGAAAGCGAGAGAGCAAAATGGCTCCCAGAACCTTCATGCGTTTCTAGGCGTGCCCGCTCAATTGTTTATGATCAAGGGTACATGGACGTTTCCGAGCCTCACCGTCTATCCGGGCGTCAAAACAACTCCTCTGGATAGCGCGCTGAAGCAACTGAAGATTGCGAACGACGACCCATATTTCAACTAGTTAGTTAGACTGCACATAAAAATTGAAAGATGTGGTGCCAAATGAGGCGGTGCCCGGCCTCCCGGCCTCCTCGTGACTAAACTTTGCAATTCAGTGTCATCGCTATTTCGCTGCACCATACTTTTGCTGGAACAGACGCTCAGCGGTCAACAGTTCACCGTCTGAAAGGAACTTATTCAGATCCACGCTATTCTCGGTCGGTGCCAGGTTGAAGAGACCCTCCTCAAACCAGAGACCAAATGTCGCAAATACGTACTGGAGTTGTTCTTTGGGGAAGAACTGGTATACATTGACATGTGCTGGTAACTCGGTGATTTGGCCGCTCTTTAGCTTCTCCATGGAGTCATATACAACCTCTAGCTTGGAACCTACGCAAACCATGGATCGCATCAGTCAAAACAATCACGTTTGATGCCAAGGAGTAGCTGGGGAGCTTGCAACTCATGTATAGATATTTGCCAAACCCAGTCCACGTACCTTTGATATTTTGCACTTTATCAACTAACTCGTTAAAGCTGAGCTTGTCTCCGATGATATAGTTGTCAACTTTCCATCGAGGAAGCTCTACTAGCTTGACCGTGGCCGCGGCAACGTCGCGTGTGTGCGTGAAGACCACAGGAGTGTTGCCGCTGCCGGGAATAGCCGCCTTGTTGCCTGCAAGATCGACCACCACCGTAGCTGGCGTAAGGTAGCTCTTGATTTCTGGTATTCCCCAATAATCGAGGAAGTACCCGCAATGAACACGGGCGTACTCTAGTGATGTCTTACTTAGACTCTCTAGAGATTCCAGCTTGAGCTTTGCTGGGGGAATGTTTTAGCAGTGCTATAAAGTGGCCCGCATGGTCAGCGTGAATGGTTTTGTAAACATTCTGTTGTATGCCTTACTCTTCACTATACGGGATGCCCCAAGAGCTCTGGATAAAGCGTTTGGTGGTGCTAGAAGCATCCGCAGCCTTCACCAGGTTCAATTCATGGTCATTTGACTGGAGAAGTGGCAGAGCTGAAATGATGGTGCCGACATTCTGCTCCTCCAGAATTTTCTTGGTGGCTTCGATGTTGGAATAGTTGATTCCGACAACAGTTGCAGTTTGGTTGGTCGGGTCACTCTTTTCAGACCCAATGTTAACCATAACAGGGCCCCAACAGCGGTCGGAGGTTGACAACTAACCTTTCTGCTAATTATCACGACATCCTTTTTGGCAGCGATCAATGCTTCTACAATCATGCGACCCAGGCCTCCATTGCCACCCGCAACAGCGATTTTAGACATGATGCAAACTATTGTGTAGAACGAAATTCGACAATCTGAAAGACTTCAATGTATTCTGCACGCTTCCTCACAGAGAATTCTTCGCATGTACATGAGCAACTGCCGAACCACCATTTATACATCTGGGCTGCTCTGGTCAGCGAAGTGTGTTCGGAAGCAGTGCACGCATAATGAAGGGGTGATTGCACAATCGCTAGCATAGTGGGGCTAGAGGACCATATGCCAGCTTTTTTCGGCCGAAAGAAATCCCAGAACGAAGCCAGCACGTGATCGAAGCTTTTGCCTAGGATTACATGGTTTCGAAGGAATATCGTGGCGTCAGGGAGCGTTGTACCAACATATCGGTGTTTTTACGAGAAGTATGGTCAGACTTCGTGCCTGGACAGCGGGCAATCCCATTAGCCAGGCAAGCGCTCCCATGTATGTCATATACCATGTAGGCAAACAGTGGAGCTGTAGAGGGAGGTTTGGTGATCGAGATAAGATGCTCGGCAGAAAGCAAAAGGACCGAGCCGGGCAAAGACTGTGCGTCCTTTCATCGTCGGTAACGATATCAAGGGACTGAGAGCGCCGGCCAGGAGGAAGACTCTGACTCGGACGAGGTAGACAGAGATCAATCTCGCTTTAGCGGTCGCCCGAGACCTGGCGTCCCAGCAGAGGCAAAGCCTTCAAAAGGGCTGAGAGAGTCTGAGAGGCCTGAGCGTGAGGCTATGAGAATCAGGGACGGCAGACGTGCTAGTCAATGTCGGTGAGGAGCGCATATCGCGAGAGCATTTGAGGCAAATAATGTAGGCTGACAAGAAGCGGAGGGAAAACCTCTACGCGTAGTTGTACTAATGTTGTGTTGTGTATGAGAGTCATTAAAGGCGCAATGATCGGAGACATTCTGCGTTTCATCGGGGTGCCGAGAGCCATGCTTCTCTTGACCGTGGAAAGGTGACCACAGAAGTCAAACGGTTCTTGCCGTAGTTCGCGCACCCGCTTCGCCACCAGGGGTAGCTGAAGAATGAGGATGTCGAACGTATTCGCGTTCTCATAATCAGGGCATCCGTCACCTTGAGGTAGAAGTATTGGTGCCTAGATCTACAGACCGAAGGGTCGGCCGGCATTCTTGGAAGTTTATGCTTGTCGTCGCCCGAACCCCTCCTCCTTGGCCATCACGCCGCCTCCAATGCCTCCCTTCGTTCTTCCAGCGGATTCGGCCGCCGCGTCAGCCTCCCGCAAGGCAGGATCCAGGTGGTGATCAATTCGCGGCCGATCCCACCACATGGCAGGGCCACCACATGGCAGGGGGGCTCAGCAGCTCGTGCAGTGAACCTGACGACACAACGTCCGCAGTGGTGTGTCTCGACACCTCCAGCAGCCTCATTTGAAGACATGTTGAGCTTCGATTCTTATGAGCCATTTCTCCCATTGGCCCACACTGGACACGCCATCAATCGCTCAGTCTGCGGCGGAGTGTGAGACCTAGTAGGACCGCTCGGAGTGTACTGTATCGATGTTCGTGAATGGGGTGTCGCGAATCGAGTCATCGGGATTCGGGATTTGGGAGTTGATCCCAGTGTCACACTCTCCGTGACGAAGGCATAATGTTCACGAATGTAGTAACCTGGTCCGACTTGGTAGGCATGGAGGATAGAGGTGGGTGGTCGACATTGGTAGGCTCCTTCTTCGCAACGGCCTCTCTCAAAGGTCGCGCCCGTTCGAAGATTGAAAGACGACGTCAAGTCTCAGGCGGGACGGGATTGTAGAAGGATGATTGTGATCGTCGAGCGTTGATGTGGACATATAGAGAGAGGAGAGAAAGCGACAATAGAAAACCCCCTCCAGTCGGCGAAGGGGGAGGGGAGTAAAATGTGACTACGTGATCTGCTCGAGTAAAAACGGCCCGTGAGGATGCGAGGAATCGACGCTGCTTTGTGACGCTTATTCCTTAGCCCGCAGGGCACTTCAGCACCCCCAATCAACAAAGCAGATAGGCAGGCAGCGTCCCTCGACCGGCCGTCAAGCGTCGCACCACCGAAGCCACGGTGGCCCTTAGCGTCCCGCCAGGATTTCGCCCCCTCCCACCGGTGAAGTCAAGGGTGGTCACTCACCCTGGTCGCGCGAGTCGGGGGTGAGCAAGGGCGGCATCACTCGGTTTCCTAATCGGGCGGGAGCCTCGAGCTGTTCGACCATACCTTGGCAGGTGAAATATGGCCGCTGTTAGATATCACGGCTCGACGGCAACACGGCGACGACAGGGTCAGGTCATTCTCTGTACTTTGTACTCCGGACGACTCGTCTATATGAATGTGACGGCCATTCTCTTGGTCGCCGTTCCCGCGCGCATCTCGCTGATCATATCATCCAGCTCTTCCAGCTTCCTCAGTCCGACTTCGGGAACAATGTTATGCTTGGCCGAAAAGTCCACCGCCTGCTTTAATCTTTGAGGAATCCCTGGACCCTCGCTCTTGACGCGATATTTGGCCAAAGTTAGGTCCATAGCCGGGATCTCCAGTGGCTCGTATGGCAATCCAATGACCATGAGAAGTCCCCCTGTCCGGATGATGCGCGGGGCATTTGTGTAGGCAACCTTAGCATTACTAAAGACGGCGGCGGCATGGACACCGATTCCCGTCAAATCTTTAACCTTGGTCACATATTCTGGGTCGGTCCTCGAGTTGAAAATGGCATCAGCCCCCTGGGCTTGACACACTTCTAGTGTCTTGTCGTTGATATCGATAGCGACGACATTAAGCCCCATCGCTTTCGCATATTGCGTCGCAATCTGACCTAGTCCTCCCGCCCCAATCACCCCGAGCCACTGGCCAGGCTTGAGCTCACATGAGTCCACGGCGTGAAAAGCTGGTAGGGATATTCGTCAACAGAGAAACCAGGGGAGCTCTAGGAGAAAAGCATCTTACAGGTCAATCCAGCGCAAAAGAAGACCGAGCTCGTCTGCAGGCTCCAATGCTTGGGCAGATGAATACAATTTCGATAGTCGACGATGGCGTACTCGGCGAAAAAACCGGGTTTGGTGAAGCCGGAGAGTTCAGCTTTACCATTCAGGCAGAGAAGGTTATGAACCATGCAGGCCTCGCATTCGAAACAGCAGCCGAGAATGTAGAGAAAGCCGATGGCGTCGCCAACATCGTATCCCTTGCCCTTGACGGATGGATGAATCTGGTCGACGATTCCAACCCCTTCGTGTCCTGGTGTGAATGGCTCTTGTAGATCTGGCCTTTCGATTGCGATGATGTCGGTATGGCATAAAGACGCGGAGGTAATCTTGACCAATATCTCATTCGGACCGGGCTCTGGGATGGGGATGGTGTTGACGACGGCCTTTTGCTGTTTAGGATCCCATTGGCCAGCTTTCATGGTTGCTGTCGAAGAGCTCATGTTTGCTGATACGCACTAAAGGCCGCGGTCAATTCAGTCCTGGCTGCTACGTCGCGCCCCATCGAGAGGTCTGATTCCTGGAGATATATTGCAAGGATACGTGAGACTTGTTTGGAGCTAGCATGGGTCTTGGGGCTCGCCTTAACGAGACTGGAGATTGCCCCGCCATGGATGGCCTGGCAGTGACCGTCGGTATGAGCGATGAGAAAGCCGCGGAACTTGATCCCGGGGTCCGCCAAATGGTGTGAGAGCAACTTTGTTGCCGCGGTAATGGGCATTGCCGCGGCATGGCGGTGATTCAGCGTCCATCTGGCAGGTCGCTCGGTCTCCTATCTGCTGTCCCGCGAGTACGGAGTAAATCCTGTTGTAATCGTTGAGGAGTGCATTACAGTACTCGACACAAAATAGTGCGTAAGCATTTACATTTTAACAGTGACTGACGCAGCAGTAGAAGCGATGTCCGGTCAAGGTCGCCCACCTCATTTACATGGAGGGGCGCGGAGGAAGCTGAGGCCTTCGAGGCGTTCGAGTGATACTGGTTGCTGCAAGTTCACAAGATGAGCAAAGAGATGCCCATCAGTCTCTCATCTCAACCGCCTGCAAGTTCGTCCCAACGAGCCAACCCCTAAGTCGGGCAGAGCAAGCCTAGAAGCCCCCCAGAGGCCAGAGTAAACCCCGCGTCGCCCGCTCGCAGTCCCCGCACTCGCTTTCCCTCCTCAACGCTCGCAACTTGAAGTCGGCAAGCCCGGCACCAGGCATGATCTTGGGTGAGCGCCAGATTGTGTCGCAAAGCCAATACGCCGCCATATGATTGATTTACGCTGCTTCCGTTACGCAGCGCCTGTACACTAACTTCAGAATTCACCTCCTAATCTTGTCTGTTCCATCGTCTTCGTTGTCGGCCCGACAGGGTGTCGAAGCACCCTTCGCCACGATGCGCTCGCCGGAAGACCATCCGATGACTAGCGCTACTCCCCCGTCGGCGGCCTTGAAACGAAAGCAGTTGCCAGACGAAGCCGATACGGGACGTGCGACCAAGCACCGCGCAGCCCAGGCATGTCAGTATTGTCGCATCAGAAAGGTCCGCTGCGACGTCCTCCTCGTTGGTGCTAGCTGTACAAACTGCCGGCTCGACAGCAGGGAATGCGTTGTGTTGGCCTCCAGGAGAGGCAGAGTTGATGGCGATCAGAAGAGAAGCACAACCGAGATCCTCAAGTCTCCTGTGTCGCAATGGTCCGTCCGGACAAGCGACTCGACCTCAAGTGCCCCGAGAGAGGGCAACAGGTCGAGCCATGGTACGATGCCGACGCCGACGCCGACGCCGAGGGAGCAAACGGGAGCTTGTGATGTCCCGGTGTGTGTCACGTTTGCTGAAAACGACGAGCACGACTATAGCACGACTGATCACACGAACTCTCGCACTCACGATGGCACCAGACTTGACTCCCACTCGGCTATCTCAAACCCGGTACAGACTCATCAAAGTCCAGCGGGAATGGCGCCGCTTCCTGCCTTCTTTACTCCGCTGCCCACCCGCATACCAAGAGAAGATCTGGATTTTCTGGTAATGAAAGGGGCATTCACGGTGCCTGAAGCAGAACTGCGGGCTGAGATTCTCCGCGGCTACATATTCTCAGTACATCCATTCATGCCCCTACTCGACCTTAAGCCGTTCGTCGAGGCGGTTTTGGACGAGCGGACCGACAATCCCATCAGCCTCCTGCTGTTCCAAGCCGTCATGTTTGCCGGACTGAGCTCCCTCGAGTCGCATTTCGTCATTCGCCTGGGCTTTGTCTCGGCCAAACAAGCCCGCGCCGTCTTCTATACTCGCGTCAAACTCCTCTACGAATTCGATGTCGAACCGGACCGCACAGCTGTGTGCCAATCATTGCTGCTGATGAGTTCGTGGTACAGCCAGTGGAACGAAGGGAGGGACACTTGGCACTGGACTGCGCAGGCTCTCTTGGCTGCCCGAAACATGGGCCTCCATCGTGAGCCGACGAGAGCGTGTGGCTCAGACCGCCAACGACGCTTCCGCAGGAGACTTTGGTGGAGCTTGTACATCCGCGATCGGATGATTGCCCTTGGAACTCGCCGACCGATGCAGGTGCGAGACACCGACTTCGACGTGACGATGCTCACCTTGGCCGACTTCGACCTCGAGCCACTGGATGACTCGATCAATGGGCGTCGTCTGACTCCAGACGCGAAAGAAAATCAATGTACCGCGCTCATGTGTATCGAGCTTGCGAAACTCTGTGTCTGCATCGGACACGTGCTGTCGTCCCAGTATACCACGCTCAGCACTCACCCTGATGTTCCACACACGATGATGGTAGTACCCAGGCGCGATGGGCAACGCATCGGCGAATTGGAAAGGTTTGACAAGGAGATCAACGACTGGCTTCGGTCACTCAGTTCGAATATACGTGGACTTGCCTCGTCAACAGTAGAGGATGGCTCGCACAGCTGCTCTGAAGTGCACTGGGCCATGCTGAACATGACTCACCTGACGTTGGTCAATGTCCTGCATCGCACGCAAGCGTTACAGACCTTGTCAGACACGGCGGATGCCCATGCCGTGCAGAGAGCGTCCCGGTCCAAGGTCAAAGACGCGGCACGCAACGTCACCAGGATTGCGTATGGAATGCTGCGTCGCGATCAATTCCGTTTCCTGGGGCTCAATGGGATCACGGCACTCCTGGCGGCATGTCTATCTCACATGGTGGACATCCGCTCGGGCAACGAAGATGTACGTGATGCCAATATCTTCCGCTTCAACCAGAGCATGCAGGTCTTGCAGGCGATGAGGTCCATGTACGCCACCGCCGACGCTGCGGTGTGTTTCCTCGCGTCCGTGATTCGGAACGCCGGCATCTCTGTGCAGCCACAGATCGCCATGCCCGCGCAGGACTTCATGTCCGCGTCGATTGAAGGTCTCGGCCAGGCCACGACGACTGGCAAACAGAGCTCTGACTGGAGCGATCCCCCTGCCAACCACGATAGGAGGAGTGCCGTGTCACGCGGGCATTCCGACGCAGGGGGCTCATACTCTGCCCGGATTCCTCCACCACCAACGCCCCTGCTAGATCCCGATCGACATGTCTTGCCTGTGCGGAGCGAGATGCGTCCAGCCCTGATGACAGCACGAGTTAATGCTTTTACGGACGCGTTTCCTGCTTCTTCCTACGCATCGACCTCCAGCCACGGCTTCATCAATACAGCGGAAGGTGGCCCAATGAGGGACGAGAGCCTCTTCCACTTTGTCGATCGACCGCCTAGGAACCTCTCGAGCTCGGCTGCCAACAAGCTTTTCATGGGGTGCAACAGCAGCCTTGACTTTGCCATGGATTTTGATCCTATCGCGATCGACGATGATTTTCAGTCGGAGACTTTCGGCTTCTTGGACAGCCAGTTCCAAGGGATCTAAACGTCCCATGACCACATCACATCTTTGACCTAGTTCCATATGGAATGACAGGACAAGGTCTGGGAGCCGTTCTCCCATGGAAGAATCTCTCTAGGACTAAAACTCACCCGTTATGGAGACGTTGACTTGGAAGCGAGTTCAGAAAGACGTGGTGAAATACGTCACGAACTAGGATTTCTGATATCTGCCACAAAGCACAATATAAACTAGAGGATGGACTATGGACTGCTTCAGACACCCTTACCAAAGAAGTATGGTCAACGATCGCATTGGGTTACTTCACGAAGCTGCTCAGATCCAGAGAACCCCTCTGCGTTGTAATGGGGTTGAGAATATGTATAAGATTGGAAGAACATAGGTGGCATTACCAAGCGATATGTATTCGGCATCATTCAGTGAGATCCCTCGCCTTGTGCTACGGTTGGCAGCGACATAGCTGCTTCTCGCGGATTTTCATTGTCATTCACCATTCATGACCAGCGTGACCAAAGAATCACCAAAACGCAATCACTCTGGCCTCGACACTCAATCTGGGTTCCTCATTCTGCGTCCCGTGCACCACCGGCGAGCAGTGGACACACGAGGCAGCGGTTTTGGCGTCTTGCTCCGTGGCCGTATCGGCGAACTTGAGGATCAAGACATCGTCAGGATCCTGGTTGGGCTTGCAGTACCACTTCTGTCGCGTGCTCTTCGCGCTGGGCGTCTGCGTCATCTGCTCGAGCATGTACTCGCCGGAGTCGAGGACGTTACTGGTGGCTCGGTACTCGATTGCCTGCAAGGTGGCAGGATCGACGGTCCGCCAGTCCGCGACGGCCAGGGGATCGCGTTTGACGGCCTTGAGCGGTCGCCAGACTGAGTAGGCGGCGTAGCGCTTGGGCGGCTCGATGCCCTTGTCCTCGGCGTCCAGGGCTTCTTGCGCCGCGGCCGTGATGTCCTTGCGGCAGTAACGCGCCGTCCGTTTCAGGCCTCGCAAGGTGTAGTCGCAGTGAGCGAATCGCGCGGGCTCGAGACCGGCGTCTGAGCGGCCGTTGACTGCAGATACAAGAGGTCAGATGCTTTCTGGCAAGACACACCAAGCGAAAATCGACGTACCCCAAGGAGCATTCTTCTCGGTCAGCTTCTTGACCGCCTCGTCGTGCTGATCGCCTGCCTTGCGATAAAAGGTCGGGTCGTTGTTGCTCGCCGCCAACCGCTTGCGGATCCCCAGGTGGTTCACGATGACCGTCTTCGCGCCCGTCACCTGCTTGACCAGTTCTTCCACCTCGGGGACATATTTTTCCTCAACGTTGTTGCCTTCCAGCCAATCGCCCGTGTCCAGCACAGACTTGTGCTTCACGTAGGTGAATCCCTGGACGTCAAGGCCCTCGGGACCTTGGATGATCTCTTCTGCGAGCTCGGGATTGAACAAGTCCACATCAATATCTTCCCCGGAGCTGTGTGCTGGGCCTGAGAAGAGCCCACGGTCTTCAGGCTTGACGGTCAGGTCCGGCAGATTGTAGCGGACGGTGCCGCGTACCGATGGCTGTTGTACGAGGCCAGGCATATCTTTGGTCTTGAGAGGATGTCGTGAATGTTGTTTGGAGGCAGCGAGGAAAGAGTCCAATTGCACGTTGCTAGTTGTCTGTGAATCAGTGCTGGCGAACAGGACCCTCAAGTCGACGATATATGTAATTCGTCGCCGTGGTCACGGGACGTCTTGAACAAACCCCGGGCGATTAAATCGAGGCCATATCTGCCTCCTACTCGGTTATGGCACATTACCGCGGCTATGCTGGCTGGTGCTGGGGTGGTCAGGAGGGACCGTAGGTCATGGCCGCCGGTCCTGTGTCGAGGACAATTTGGCAGACGGAAAATCCGCGGAATCGTGATGGCCCGGAAAGGTCCCGGTTATCCAGTCCGAGATACAGAGCAGCAGACAGTCCGTTTTAAAGTCATGTGTGATAGTAAACATATGCAGCCTCGTCGGTCGCCATCTCAAGGCCGATCGATGGCCAGCATCGTGCCGTGGGAGAACCCTGATCCGTCCACGATAGTTTGCACAATACTTCCCACGCATCACACAAATCTACTTTCAACGGTCTATTATGTTGGGCACGCTGCAAGATTATGATGCACGTGCTAGCATGACCCTGGGGTCAGTATTAGTGTCAGCTTCAGTCACACCTGGACCAATAATGAGAGACGTTTAAGGTTCTATATCGTCTAAGCCTAATGAGCCTACGCCATGTGATATGGATGGATTTCCATGTTGCGTTTTGCGACGGCCTTGACACAGTATATGTTGGCCACGTTCAGCATACGGCTGGACGCAATGTTGTGACATGGGCATGTGTAAAGTTCACCACTGGCATTTCTATCCACCGTGGTCATCTTGGGCCGGATGCCACGCCTTAAAAAAGTGCCATGATATTTGGCGGAGAAGCCACAGCTCTCGGATGGTTCAGAGGACTCGACGTGACAAAGAATGTCCACCGGTTGAGTTTCTTGCACAGCTCCGCCAGACGCTCCAAGTCAAACATCTCTCCGATGGGAACCCCCCATCCCGCCAGACAATAGTTGTGCATCGACCAGTCGTTGTTGCGGTTGGGCCGTACTTCGAACGAGACGCCATCGCCGGCGACAGCCACGACATGGTTCTCCCATATGAACCGGGCCACCGCTTCGCTCTGGATCAGGCCGCTATGTCGGTGCTTGTGCGCTTGGGTCTGAGTTCGATAGTCCTGCTTCTGTTCGAGGGTAAGAGACTCCCAGGTTTTGGTGAAGCCGCAGCGCAGGAAGAAGATGTCGCCGTGGTGGAAGGTGATGTTGCACTCTTGAGCGATTTCCTTGACTTGTTCTAGGGTGATGGCGTGACCGACCATGCCGTTGGTCTCTAGACCTCGCTTCTCGGCGTACGAAACGTAGTCGATGAAGACACCGCGCGCGGCAATACCTTCTTGCGCCCAGTGTCCGACGCCGATACGGTCGCTTTTGCCTTGACTGATTTCGTCCGAGGTCGTGCCACCGTACCATTTGCGCGTTCCATCGGCCATCTCGGTGCTGTAGTGACGAAAGCCATCCCACTGAGAAGACGCCTGAGGGTTGAAGCGCCAGATATCGTCCCAAGCGATCCCTTCGTAGTTCGGGATCGGCACTATCTGGTGCTCACATGGGAACCGGTTGAAGCCTGGCCTTCCTGTAAGAGATACAACGAATCGCACTGTTGCTGTCGCTGCCTACCTGGTGTTTCAAGTCTGGTCATCTCCCAGTTCAGACATACCTAGACAAAACCCGTGTCAGCGGACGCGCACGTCTTGAGTCTCGTTTCCCACATACTCGCTCGCCCGTTTGCACTTCTTGTTTGACCACCCGTGCAACATGTGCGGGCGTCAAATACCTGAGCATCCCCAGACCTTCGTCTCGGCTGCCGGGCTTTGCGGGCCAGAACCGCTTCTTATCCTCGAGTTCATCCCATTTGGGGAGGTCTGCGAATGACGACATGGTTGAGAGGTTCTTGTTTTCCCTTATTGACAACCAACTGAACATCGACTTATGAATGAAACAAGGGTCATAATATGTACATGGGACCGTTCGTCTCGCTGATCTGCGTCAGAGATGTAGCCGCGGAACCAGCATAAGCCAGGGTCTGGCTGACGCAATTGTGGATCAACTCCAGAGCGCCAGACCAATGAGGCGAAAAATAAGAATACATCCCGCGGAACCAGCTCTGAGGTGAGGGTGTGGCTCCGATGCCGCATCACAGCCAGTCAGGTGCCAGTGATACACACACTTCCCCGCAGGAGTGAATAACCTCCATCTAGTCCGATTCATTCGTCGCTCGGCAACCTGCTGTATACCCGAGGTGTTCTCCACAGCCACATCACGAGGATCTGTGGATGGCCAGGCCGCGGGCAATGGCCAGCATTCTACCTGGTGGCCGAGGACTCTCTCGGATGCGGATATAGTGTGAAGATCAGTACCCCAAAGCGAGCCCTGCTCGACAGTGGAGATCTGAGGCTCGATTAACATTTTTTGTGATTTCCTAAACCCCAGCTGGCCCTCTTGATGTATCGTTTGCTTGGATTGAGCAGTGACACTTGGACTAGCCATTGACGACAACCGAACCCTCTACGATCATGCCTGCCAAGCACCAAGTCAACGGCGATGTGAAGGGCACTCGCCCCGTCCGCATCGCCAATGTGTCGGGTGGCCAGATGGAGCCTGCGTGGCAGATGAGAAAACAGGCCACCTTCGGCCAGATCGACTTCATCACCGGCGACTGGCTGGCGGAGAACAACATTGCGCAGGAAGCGGCGGCCATGGATGCCGGGACCGGTGAGGGATTCAAGAAGAATGCCTGGGAAGGCTTGCAGTTGACCATGGATGTCATCGCGGAGAAGCATATCAAGGTGGTCATCAACGGCGGAGGCATCGGGGCGGAGAATCTGGCCAGGCGATGCCAGGACCTCATCACCAAGAATGGCTACGACCTGAAAGTCGCTTATGTCTCCGGCGACAACATCACCAAACGGGTGCGGTCCTCGCTCCAAGAGCAGGGAAAACTCCCATCAAGCTTCGAAGATGGCAGCGGAAAGAACCACAAGGACGCGACATTCACGGCGGATGAGGTCCTTGCGTGTACCGCGTACATTGGAGCACGAGCCATCGTCAAGGGCCTCGAGAACGGCGCCGATATCATCATCTGTGGTCGGGTCGCCGATGCTGCTCCCATCATGGGCGCCGCCTGGTGGTGGTATGGCTGGTCGGACACCGACTATGACCGACTAGCTGGAGCTTTCCTCGCGGGCCACATCATCGAATGCTCTGCTTATGCATCGGGATCCAACTTCTCCGGCTTCAATCGATTTCCGCTCGAGACCTTTATCGATTCTGGATATCCCATTGCCGAAGTCGAACGAGAGGGATCTTGCATTATTACCAAGCACGAAGGCACCGGAGGCATGGTCACCGAGGAGACTGTCAAGTGCCAGCTCCTGTATGAAATACAGGGCAATGTCTACTTGAACAGTGATGTCAAGGCCATTCTGGACGACGTCAAGATCGAGCAGGTGGGAAAGGACCGTGTTCGGTTGTCGGGCATCAAAGGTCGTCCGCCGCCACCAACAACGAAACTGGCCGTCTTCTTTCAGGGCGGATACGAAGCTCAGAATTTGGCCAACTTTGCTGGTTATGCATCCCGCAGGAAACATAAGCTGTACGAAAAGCAGATCAGAGCCCGCTTAGATGCGAGGGACCTCACTCGACAGTTTGACATTCTGGAATTCCAGATGATTGGAAACGCGGGCGTCGATCCCAAGACCATGTTCGAAACCACCAGCTACTCACGTATTTTCGCGCAAGCGAAGACTCCAGAGCCCCTATCTGCGCTCAAGCTCATCCTCGCCGACGACACACAACAGAAACCCTCGGTGAGTGGAGCGAAATAAATACCGTTTCCAATTCGAGACGAATGCTAACGATCATGCAGGGCCTCCACTGGGCGCAGGACATGAGGACCGCCGACCCCAGGTCGTTCTACGTGTACTACCCGTGCATCATGCCGCAAGACGAGATTGTCGAAGCAGTCCACTTACTCGACAAGGAAGGCCAAACAAAGCAATCCATTTCGGTGACCCGTCCACCGAAGTACGAGGCCCTGGAGCCTCGCGAGTCCTACGATCCGGCCAACCCGACTCCTCTCGAATCGTTTGGCCCCACAGTACGCATGCCGCTGGGCAACATCGTGATCGGGAGGTCGGGCGACAAAGGCCCCAACGTCAACATCGGCCTGTTCACCGACCGCCCCGAGATCTGGGAGTGGTTCCGCAGCTTCCTCACAATCGAGAGGATGAAAAGTCTGGTCGGCGGCGACTGGAAGGACGAGTACCGCATCGAGCGCGTCGAGCTCCCGACCATCTTCGCCGTCCACTTTGTCATCTATGGCATCCTCGGTCGCGGAGTGAGCAGTTCGACGCTGTTGGACAACAGGGGAAAAGGCTTCACCGACTATATCCGCGCGAAGCACGTCGATGTGCCCAAGAAGTTTTTGCAGTGGACTTGGGAGGAGAAGGAGGATGAGTTTTGACTGGGAAGAGGGTAAAACTTTAGGCACATGTAAAGCCCTCTGCATACTTGACTTTGGGCTGTGGTGTTGGCATCAATGTCAGTCATAATGTCGTCCATATCACCGTATGCTACCCATTCACGGTACCTAGAATTGTCCAATTTGATAATTCTCTTCTTAAACTCCGAAACCATTTCTGAGCGGGCGTACCCGTGGCTATGGAGGGCATTTCTAGAGAGCCCGCGGTTACCTGGCATTCTCAATACGAGAGGATATGGAATTTCCACCCTTGCCCCTTTTTCCCTCGGGGGTGCTAGGTACCTTCTCCATGTACTAGCCCGCGAGAGAGAGAATTGCAGGTTGGTGTGATTAGTGTGCTACTCAACAGGAAGGGTGTCGCTACCCAAGTCGGACATTAGATGGTGGAGGTCTTATGATACTACATTTCTTCATTTGGGTTGCATTAGTTGCCATCCGCGATGATGACATAAGTTCAAAGGCTTCAGTCCTTAACCCGATCATAGTCCTTGCTTAACATGCACGTCGCCATCCTCTTCTGCCTCAAATACCCTGCCCTGCATCCAATTCACGGCCGCTTACACCACCTCTCTCTGTTCGGCCGCGATGTTCTCCTTGCCGTGCATTCTCCTCGACACGTCCGTGTTGAATTTCGAGTCTGGATTGGGCGACAGCAGTGCCCCTCCGATCGCCAGGACGCCAAAGGCGACGCTGATGAGATACACAATCTGCACCGCCTTGGAAAACGCCGTCTGGTAGGCGATGGTCACCGTTTCTAGGATGGCGGGCGTCAAACCACGTACGCCGGCGAACGAGCCAGTGGTGAAACCATCCAGCAGCGCCGGAATCTGATCTGCCGCGATGCCAGCTTTCTCGGCAGCCGGCACGACCGTTGTGGTGATGAAGTGTGCGAGCTTGTTGTTCTGGACCGTGCTGTAGATGGCGAGGGCGATGGTGGCGATGGCTGTACGGCCAGAGATCAGAACCCCGAC